TTTTTTCAACGTTTATTTATTTTTTAGGACAGAGAGAGACAGAGCATGAACGGGCGAGGGGCAGAGAGAGAGGGAGACACAGAATCAGAAACAGGCTCCAGGCTCTGAGCCATCAGCCCAGAGCCCGACGCGGGGCTCGAACTCACGGACCGCGAGATCGTGACCTGGCTGAAGTCGGACGCTTAACCGACTGCGCCACCCAGGCGCCCCTCCCCTCCTGTCTTTTAAGTTCCATTCGCCCAAATTAATTTTCTTCAGCTTTCTTCTTTTTAATCTTACCACAATTCATTAATGCAACAGTTTCCTGCAAAATGGCCCCAGATGATGCCTGCAACACCTGAGGCACACTGAAAATTTAACAAGGACAGTACTTACTGGTGGTTTTTCCTGTCAGTGAAGTGATGCTCAGTCTCCGAGCTGAGGTGGGGGATTTCTGCTGGGGTGGAGTCCGACACTGCTTTACCAGATCCTCATCAGCCACTGAGGTCATTAATTCCCCAATAAGGATTCTCTCCAGGCTTCCATCATCAATGCCTTTCCCTAACCATCGTCCACATGGGAACCTTGTAGGTCAGAAAAACAACTTCTCAATCACCAGTACTTTACTAGTTTAATCAGAATTCTTTAAATGGCATCATGGGTGAAACCCATCATTTTAGTGCCTATGGGTTGTTTTTTAAATTTATGTTTTAAGATTTCAAACACACAGAAAGGTAGAGAGAATAGTATAAGAGATACCCATATTCTTATCACCTAGACTTAATGATTGGCCATATGCTTCTTTTCATTTTTTGTTGACGTATTTAAAAATGTTTATTTATTTTGAGACAGTGTGAGTGGGGGAGAGGCATAGAGAGAGAGGGAGACAGAATCCCAAGTAAGCTCCAGCCTCTGAGCTTCAGCGCAGAGCCCGATTCGGGGCTCTATGTGAGATCATGACCTGAGTGGAAGTCAGATGCTTAACTGACTGAGCCACCCAGGCGCCTCTATTTTTTTGTTGAAGTATTTTAAAGTACATTGTGCATATAAGGACATTTCATTCCTAAAAACACTTCAGTATGAATCTCTGAAAAATAAAGACATTCTCTCTTATATAGCCACAAATTGTTATTGCACTAAACCAAATTAAAATGATTCAGTATTTTCACATACCTAGTCTATATTAAAATCCTGTGCTTAGATCTTCTGAGAAGAATATTTTCAAACTAGAAGTTAATTTGGGAGTTCAGTTATAGGAGAAAAGAGGAGAGTACTTCCAAAGAGGAGTGCCAGCTGTAACTAGTAGAGTCGAAAAGATCTTTTCCTTTTTACTAAATGAATTACTTCAACCTTTTTTTTTTTTTAATTAGAGATCACTCTTTGCCAACACTTGTGGACTAAGCATTAACAGCAAACATAATCAATTTTTTTACAAGTTTTTTTGGGGGGCAATTTTGTATTCCATAAACAAAAGCAAAACCAAACAACCCAAAAAACTAAACTAAAATTCAGAAGGCAGGGAGAAAGCTTTAGAAAGAAAACAATTCTTAAACCTCTTCTTGTCTAAAGAATCTCAAAGAGTTCTGATCTCCCAAGGACATTTACTTACCTGTAAGTATGTCCTGTGATCTCATTTCTGACCATGACACAATCCACTAGCCATTTGGCTAACAGTCCTGAGTTATCGTGACCAATCTGAACAGTGGTCAGCTTCCCCAAGTTCTGGCACTGTAGGAACAGGACCACAGGTTATTCAGTGCCTGATCTTACCGCCGCTATCTCTTAGCTTCAGTGATGGCACTTTGGTCCCATCTAATTTAATAATTACAGAGGACCCATCCTGCATAATGGGCTCTGCTTTGCACTAGAGAAATATATTCACATCTAAGGTATCCCATCTATTGAGAGAGGAGACATATGGACATTAACTATCAAATGAGGGGACTGTACAAGGTGCTAAACTAGAGATATAAGCAAGTACTAGAAAAACACTGGAAAAGGAAAAATTATTTCTAGCTAGGGAACTCAGAACTTGTGCCTTTAGGATGAGAAGAATTTCAAGAAGTGGCAAAAGTAGGGGCGCCTGGGTGGCTCAGTCGTTTGAGTGTCTGACTTCGGCTCAGGTCATGATCTCACAGTTCGTGGGTTCGAGCCCTGCATCAGGCTCTG